CCTTAGAAATGAGCAAGGGACAGTTCTACTCTGTTCTAAAGAGCACCTGTAAGATGAAATTCAATTGCAGGCAGTGAGTATGGTACGTTTTTTCTTTGACAGGATGCATGCGTCCATATCTGTTTTGTTACCACTATATTCTCTTTCCAATCAATATACAGAATAGATCATCCAGAAGGCCAGCCTTTATAAGGAGGAATGTGGCATTAGGATTGGAGGAAGACTCATCAAAAACCTGTGTTATGCAGATCACACAACCTTGTTTGCTGAAACTGAGAAGGACTTGAAGTGCTTGCTGCAGAAGGTCAAGGAGGGCAGTTTCAAATATGGACTGAAGCTCAACATCAAGAAAACAAAGATTCTCATCACTGTGCTGATTGGCAGTATCATGATAGATGGTGAAAAGATTGAGACTATAGCTTTAGTGTGTTTGGTTCCACAATCAACACTCTTGGAACCAGCAACAAGGAAATCAAAAGACAAATTACATTGGGAAAGTATGCTGTCAGGGACCTCTCCAGAGTACTGAAGAGCAATGATGTCAGTCTGGAGACTAAGATGTGCCTGATCCAGGCCATAGTCTTCTCCGTTACTTAATATGCATCAGAAAGCTGGGCAATGACTAGGGATGATAGAAAGAGAATTGATGCCTTCAAGTTGTAGTGCTGGAAAAGAGTATTGAATATACCATGAACTGCTAAGAGAACAAACAGGTTCATCCTAGAGAGGGTGAAACCAGGCTGTTCCTTATTCTGAAGCTTTATCTGACATACTTTGGGCATGCTGCAAGGAGGGACCAGGCCTCAGAGAGGGACATCATGCTTGGGAGGGTGGAGGGGGCAGAGGGACAGCACAAGAGAGGAAGACCTTCTATGAGGTGGATTGACTCAGTGACTGGGATTATGGGGTAAGTGTGTCAGAGACAGTGAGGTTGGCACAACATAGAGCAGGGCTCAGAGCTGTTGTACATATGGTTGCTGTGAGTCACAAGCGAAGTGACAGCACCTAACAACAACAACAACAACAACATATTCTGGTGCCTAGATGAATTCTTAAAAAAAAAAAAAGATTGGGTTAAATTTAACTGATTTAGATTTACGTAGATTCATGTAACTAGGAGTCCTGGTGGTAAAAAACCAAAATCCACAGGTGGTTCTATGGGAATAAAATCTGTGGTCTCTCTTCCTATTTTGATTTACAACCTTGGAAACCAAATAAAGGGTCTTTATTAAGTTAGTTCCAACTTGACATCAGTGAGAGAGTGAACAGTGGGTTTTGCTTATAATATATCCAAAGAAAAGTCTGATGAGTTATTGTCTTCATGAAGTCATAATTTAAAGGGAAGGCGATATTGTTTTCAATCACCATATGCAATCAACTGAAGGGGGTATTTTTTTGGTTTTTCCTGGGTGTTTTTTTTTTTTTTTTTTGTGGATAACGTATTTCAAACATTTTCCATGGCAGGTCTGGGTTCTGGAAGACCTAGGCTTATACTTTCTCTCTTTAGTAAAAGAAATTTAAGATAATGTAGGAAAAAGTGGTTGGAAGGTAAGGGAATTCTGGAACTAAACTCCATCATCTTCATCTTAAATCTGCTTCAAAATGTCTCCGCACAGCATGTAATTCTGCATTTGGCCAATTCTTAATATGAAGTACTAAAAGGGAAGATCTGCCCTGTAGATAATCTTATTAAAAATAGAATCTTGCAGTAGGGATTGGGGCATGGTCAAGGGGAAAGACTGAGTACCACCCAGTAGTCAGGAGATTTTCAATGGATTTGTGGACCCGTACTGGACTGTTGATAGAAGAGATTCACATTTGAAAAAAAAGGCAAACAGGAAAAGAGAAAAGGGAAAAGACAGTAAGGAAAGGAAGAGACTATCTTTTTATAACTAGAACAAACTGTGTGCTTCTGAAGCATGTTAAAGCTGGCATCATCAGACTCCACCTCCAAGATTTGAGGCTAGAGTGTGCTCATTCACAGCTGTCACGTGGATCCACAGGAATGGAAGACAGATGAATACAACAATGGGGAAACAGGCTGAGCTTGGACATGTCCCTTCAGTGCTGCCATTTAGCATGCACAGATGTATGGATGAGCAGGGAACGGTTGTTGGATTGAGGAGCAGGAGATGTGAAGACCCCTGGTCTGTTGACTTGACTTGGCCCCATGTAAGGGGCTAGGGCTGAGTGAGGAGATCCAAAGGTCTGGGGCAAAGGAGAAGTTCACGGAGAAGTGGACTCCTGAGCTTGTTGGTCATTAAACCTAGCCATAGATGGCTGGGAATGAGTTGACCATAACCCAACTGGATGAAGAGAAGATGGTCCATGCTGTGGACTAAGGCTGACTGCTGAAACCTGATGGCTTGCTCTGGACTGGATGATGCTTATGGATGCAGTTATTAAAAGTTTTCAAGTTAGTCAGAGGATCCTTTAGCAAAAGGGACATGTTCGTTTCCTCAAAATAATGGTTTGGTAGAGATGGGCAAATCATCAATTGGTACTGAAAAGGAGGATATTAAAGACATGAGGCATAAAGTAGGTGGCTTACTCACTTTCACAAAAGTAGGTTTTGGTGGAATGATTGTAAGGGAGAGAAAAAAAATCTTGATGAACAATATATAGGGGGAAAAAACCCCTACCCAATATAAACAAACAAAATATAACGTAAATGAAGAACTGTATGGACTATAATGTACATGCATGAAACATAGTATACAAGAAAAATAAAAATTTTAATTTAAAAAAGAATAAAAAAATCTCTATAATCTCAAGAATTTCCTTTGTTGTAAAATATAGTTCAATTGCAACTGATAAGTCTGTTCTCGACAGGTAAAGCATGGACTGGCATGTGGTCAAAACACAGCCTAGAACCAGCTGTTGGGGTTTGAACCTTGGTTTTAATTTCATGTTCACTTACTCATTGACATCAAGGGAGAACCAATTCAGAGCCGGCCTTGCATTGGGTTTCTGAGGCTGTGAAAGGCACAGGAGATTGTCCGTGTTTCTCCCCCAGAGTGGCTGGTGGATTTGAACCAGAGAAGCTCAGCCTTTGGATTAACAGTGTAGTTCCCTAAGGTCTATGTCTCCAGAGCGTCTTTGCACTTCATAAGGTTGCATGAAGCATCACAAGAGTTAGTAAGTCAGAAAATGTTAGGCAGATCTGTCTTTCTTGTCTTCTTTCTTAACATGTATTCCCAAACCCACTTGTCTGGATGAGGTAATCAATGTAGTTGAGATTTTGGTTTTTTGTGCTTCGTTTTAACACTCAACCCATTCTGAGACTGACTTGTTTCCGCAAAGATTTTCATTCATTCCTCTCAAGTGAACACTACAAGTCTTCCCTGTACCATTTTCTAACCATCCTCTAACAAGAGCATGAATCAAAGAGTTGCCAGGGAACCAGAATATAAAAGTCTTATTAGGCTCTGCTTAGCTCTACCTGCCAATCTCAGCCCAACTTTACTCCCACTGACATTCAGAATCACCTTTATCATATACCTTTCTAGAAGGTCACATTTTTAGTATGTTCAAAGTTAAAGCATGTCATTTTTTCCCCCCGTCTGGAAAGTTAATACATGATTATCGAAGAAAAGTCAGAAAAGGAACTGAAAGCCTAAAATAAACCATCTGTAACCTAACCACCCAGAGGTAACCTCTTTTAAGCTCATATTTTAGCATATTTCCTTTGCAATACTAGATTGCTGGATCGTACCATGCATCCAATTGGAAATCTTCCAGTTTTAAACTAACATTATATCTGCTTAGTTCCAAATACTGCTGGAAATTCTTTATGAACAACATTTCAGTAGCTGCTGAGACAAATAAGCAACATAATTCACTTAGTCCCCTCATAAGGGAAATTGAGATTTTTTACATTGCTTTTTCCTGTTATAAATAAATAATGCATTTATGAATAGCTCTACTTGTATAGAAAGACAATTTTTTTGGTTGTTCTTTTTTTCTGTCACAAACTCTCCTCTTTATGATGAATTAATAAGGTCGAAATTATTATTTTAAAGGATACATTTCTTAAGGTCATGAATACATATGGAATATCTAACAGGAGTCTGACATATACTGGTCATTATGTAAATATTTACTGAATAAATATCAACAAATTAGCACTTAAAATAATTATACCCTCACAAGCAGTGTCTCGGAGCATCTGTTTCTCTGCACCTAGATGACGGAATGTTTTCTTTTGTCGTTGTTAGCTGCCACCAGTTAATTCTGACATGGGGTGACATCAAGTGTGCACAGTCTAACGGTGCCACAGGCTTTTGAAAGCTATGACCATTTGCACATATCACCAGATCGGTTTTCAAAGGCACCTCTGGGTGAGTTTGAACCACTGGGTAGGTCAGAGCCATTGGGTATGTTTGAAACAAACGCTGGGTAAATTTAAACTACTAATCTAACAACCAAGTGCTTAACTATCTGCACCACTCAGAAGCTGTTAAAAGTGTGCACCTGTGTGCTCACACGAGGCTGCGCACCGCCCCCCGCCCAAATGAATAGCAAATAAGGTGGAAGCGAATAGCATGGAGCCAGAAATTCTATAAAATTTCCCATATTTCTTGGAATTTAAATAAAAACTGCCAAAACACATTAGGAATCAAAACCAATAACGCAGATAATTCAGAGAATATAAGAAACTTTAATATATATTGGGTCTGAAGCATCTATAAATAACACCGTTTAGACATTTTCATCAGAGTAATCAGATAAAGCGCACATTTCCATACTTTCTGTGGGAAAAATAATTAATACCATGAATTTAACATATTGTATATGTTTAAAAATGTAAAAAATATAACGTACCTTAACTGTCTGAATTTCCATATTCATCGTTTCATCAGTTCCTCTCCCTTTCATCTTCTCCATTCTGCCTGCATATCATTTCTCCTCCCTCTGAGTATCTCCTCCCCTACATCTCTCACCTGTGTTCTTCCTTCATCTTCCCTAGTCTAGTCCTACCATTCCCATCTGCTTCCTACCTTGAAGGTGCAGTTTGCTCTCCGTGCTTTGCAGAAGGACGGAACTCACAGAGTCCAGATTGTCATAGCTGTTACAGCCCAGAGGCCCAGTGCGTGTCTCTGTGACCTGCAGGGGACATCAAATGACAGACAAGTGAGAGAGGGGCCTTTCTCTGGACTCTGAGAAGTCTGGCTCTAGTAGAGGCAAGGCTGGTGGGGTCTTCCGGCCTGTGCCAATAGCCACTTTCTGAGTATTTTGCTTCTTTCTAAGACTATGTTTGGTTGTCATCAACAAGCAGCTTGTTGAGAGAGCAACAGAGTTTTAGCACACAGACTAGAGCCAGACTACTTGGGTTTAATGGCTCACACTTCACGAGGTCGCTTTATGCATAACATTAACTAATAAATTGAATTATGTTTCAAAAGCTTGGACTTTGGAATCTGGAAAATCAGGATTTACTTTCTGGATGGGTCGATTTATTTTCTGTGTGACCTGAGGAAGTCACATCACATTTCTAAGTTCCTGCTAACTGAATCTAGCAACTCCCTCCCAGGAATGTTGCAAGGACTACAGGTAGGCTAGATTTCATGGCAGAAGGCACATGGCAGATGGTCAACAAAGAGCATCCAAAGATTAAACCCATCTGTAAGTCAAGTAAAGAATGTATTATATATATTGTTAGGTAAAAATACTATTATCTTCATCTCCCAAAAGTTTTAGGAACATGCTTGATCATGGCTACCACAGCACAAAATAGCCCAAGGACAATGTCTCTCTAAACAGCATCTTAAAAAATTAAGTGATGGTGCCAATAGAACAGCTGTTAAGGAGGAGAACCTTGAACTAAGTCTGGCTTAGTATGAAATGGGGTCTCTTCATCCTTTCAGCCAAGACGTTCTCTATCATTTAACACAACTATTTACAGGGCTGTTCTGAGACAGAGATTTGTACTCAGTGATAGAGACACACTACCCATTGTTTTGAGGGCACAGAAATTTAGAAAGCATTAATATATACTTTCAGATGCCAGCTCTGTCATTTCCAACTGTGAACAGTTAGAATAGTTACTCTCTTTAAGCCTCACATTTGCCATCTGTAAAATATTAATAATGGTCTTATCCACCATAGTCGGTAAGGAGATCATGATTTCAGAGTGGTTAGCACACAGGAAAGTTAAGAAATGCAGGACAATAAGGTTGCTTTTTTTTTTTTTTACATATGACTTATTCATTTTGATACAGGACAATTGTGTAGTGATTACTGAGTTAGAGTCATAGCTACCAATTCATTTTCACTACATACACCCGGGTGTAAGGGGGGTGAGCCCTTGCTTGGGCTGCCTGCTGGCCTCCAACACAGCTGGAAGGAAGTCTCAGTGTAGCCAGCGAGTCTTGAGGTAGTGGCAAGAAAAAACTCAAGTCCAGTTGGGTGTGAAAGCAGTACTACGCAAAGACCGGTTTCTTGAATGGCCCTTGTACCATTTCTCTGAGATTTTCCTGTTAAGGAGGCAGGCTGCACTTGCAGGCTGCATAAAAGAGGATTATCTCTGTCAGAGCTTCAGTATCTCAATTCCGCATCCCATCCAGGGGGGAGAGAGCATTTTGTGATAATGAAAACCGGGCCTTTGCAGTACTCCCGACTCTGATGGCTTCATAAAGATCCATCTCAGCACCGAGCTTCCTAACAACATAATCCCCCCAATATAGGCGATTCTTCTTGGATAAGCTGGTCCTTTGTTTGTCTAACTGATTTATTTCTCTGCCTATTCCCTCCCTCTACAGTAACTCTCTCCCTCCCACACTTCCCTTTTCCCTTGGTCAATTTCTGCCTCAGCTTCTCAAGTCTCTCTAAATCTTTTTCCCCCCTTTCCCTGGAGATATCTTTGAAAGTCTTAAAATAAGTCTAGGCTGGCATTTTATTCAGAAGAAATTAGACTGACGACTCAGAAGTAAAATGCAGGCATAATTTAGTTTAAGAAAATGTGAGAGGCAAAGATACGCACCGAAGCCCTCAGAAGAACTAATCTTTGATATCAAAAATGTCCTCCCACATTCTCTTTATAGAGGGAATCTCTGAACATACTGTATTTAAAATGCAATCTATTATCTTTTTTTAAAAAAAAAATTTCTTGTGAGTTACTGAATTGAACATGTAGAGTCACCCTACCCCACAGAGTGACTAGCTATATATGTGGCTCTTTAAATTTAAGTTTGAAGAATTAAGTATAATTTAAAAGTTATTTCCTAAGAAATTATATTTCACATTCTCAATTGACCACAAGTGACCAGCGGCTACTGCTGTGGCCAGCAGAGATAGAGAATATTTTCATCATGACAGAAGCCTGGACATCTCTGGTCTAAAAGGACTTGGATCAGCGAGCTGCAGAATATCTGCTTTTGTAGCACAGCCCTGTTGTGTATTTACACATTACAGGTTTTTTTTTCTCCCTCCCTCCCTCCCTCCCTTTCTTTCTGACACAGGAGGAGATTTCTGCTCCTTCTCCAGTGGAGCAGCTAGTGGATTTGAACCGCACGCCTTCATGACTGCAGCACAGCTTTTTGCCACCAGGCCACCAGGGGTCCCCTGAAGTTTGTTTCTTTAGTGCTAAAACAGCAGCACAGATTTAGAACAACAGAGTTCATCCAAGTCTCCAGGGCCATGTTTAGTATCTGGTCCTTACTAGAAAAAGTACACTGGCTATTGGATTACAGAATTAAGTTCTGGACCTTTTTAGGATATTTTCTAGCTGTGTAAGAGGCTTTTACATCCAGACTCAATCTATAAAATAGAGGAGAGAAAAGAAAAATACAAGTACTGAAAAAAATGACAGTCCTAGGCTAAGTTTGTGTGGGAAATTTGACTCCTGCTAACACAGTTACCTTGAGAAAACAATTTACCCGGTGAGCTTTTTCACCTAGAAAGAGATCTTAATAATCATCCACACAGGAGAACTGCATAAGAGGACTGTTGATAATTATGCCAGGCCCATATCCAGATGGGTTTAGCAAATGAATACATGTGATTTTACTAATAATAAAGGTTGGCTATTCTATCAGTAGGAATGGGTGGCATATGTCCATCTACTATCAGAACCTTTCCCTTTTACTACTATTGTGTGGTGGGCCCGCCTCCCAAGCGTACCCTCAAGCCATACCTTAATTGCTCCAGTTGATATCTGGATCTCATGGAGCCGCCTCATGGTGCCATCCCGGTCAACAAAGTAGGACGATGCAAGCTGGTGCAGAGCTTCAACGCTTTGAGTGGCATTCCCTGACTTCCTGTCGAGGCGACTCTTGTCCATGTACATGGTCAAAGCCTCCTCTCCTGCATGAGAAAAGTGGGGGAAAAGCTCAGGTAGTCTGTGATGATTTGGGGTACATGGATAGGACTCCAGTTCCTGAGATCAGTTTCCAACTTTCTATTAATTTTGTCCACATTTCCTTCCACCTCTGAACATCTAGGGTAAAATGAAAGATACAGTCTATTTTCTTTTTACTGTATTAACTGTTGCTCTTGTTACTTGTCATCAAGTTAATTAAACACTTTTATTGTTGTTGGATACTCCTGAATGGATACCAAATCACTGTGATCCCAAGGGACAGAGGAGAACTACCACATAGTTTTCTCTAGAAAATGAAAAGTAATACATGTAACTAACACTAATGACATGCATTCAGTTTCTGGTAGATGATGCTAGTCTAGGGGATATGGAGATCTAAGATCATTTCAAATGCCAGGTGACTAGCCAACATATATACATACACACAGTGGAACTACAGGTCAAGGAAAGGGTGTTTGCACTCCTGTCAGTAACATGGGCCACTCTCTGGAGCTGTGACTCTCAACACTTCCCCTACACAAATGTGCCCTTCATTTGTATCTGCAGGCTAACTTCTCTTCACCCCTCAAGATTAACCTCATACATCACCTCTTCTGGGAAACCTTTCTAGAATTCTCTATTCTTCCTCTAAACTAGGTTAATAACACTTGCACAGTCCTCTGTCCTTCTCAGTTATAACACTTGCCACATTGTCTGTTGATAGCTTGTCTAATAGCTTCCTCCACTAAAACAGAAGTATCATGAAGTCAGGGAGTATGTGAGTTTTTAATTATTTTATTAACATTACCTAGCATATTATAGGCATATATTTGGTGCTGGGCAATGATTAGAAGATTTACGGATAAATGTATAAACATGAAACTAATCCAATTCTACAGCGTGTGTTGATTTTTCTTTGGGGGAGAGGGGAAGTCCCCCTGAGTTGATTCCCACCATTCTACTATAGGACAGCGTAGAACTTATACAGAGTTCTATTTCTGATGCTGCAAATCGTTATAGAAGCAGATTGTCACATCTTTCTCCTGCAGAGCAGCTGATGAGGTCAGACTTATGGTTGACAGTAAACTCTTAATCACTTCATCACCAGGGTTCCTCCAGTCTCTTATGAACTTGAAATTTCACAGCAGGAAGGATTTGAATTCACCTTTGGGTACACCATGCCTAGGTTTGTGTCAAGTTCTGAAGAATACATTCATGTTTGGACTTTTTAATGACATCTTCACTAGTTATGCAAGAAAATGTAACCTTCCTTCCTTTGAACTCCCTATCAGTTTAAATCAATTGCTGTAAAAATGCCTGTCTATCCAATTAGACTTTAAGTGGCTGGCTATAGTAATGGGTGGATGGTGACACATGAAGATCACCTGATTCATCGCTGTAATGTCTAGAACAAGCCTCCTAAGATCTGATGAAGAGATATCATTTTATGGATAAATTGATGAATAGATGGATGCGTAGATAGGTAAATGATTAAGTAAGTGAATGTACTAGAAGCTAGAGCTAATGGGCAGAGGAAATAAATATTCCAAGTGTCATCTCAGTCTCTCTCAGGGGCTTGTGAAAGAAAAGGTGATGCAAGTCCACTTCCCTCTGGACTGAGAACTGGCAGAAACAAACCTTAGACCAAGAGGGGTTAATGGGCTTTTTGCTACATTATTAAGACTTAATTTCTTGTTTATTAAGAGAACGTTCTGTTCAGAGTTGCTTTCCCATTTGGGCATTCCTGAAAATTGCCTCTGCACCCTACATAGGCCTTTCTTCAGTCTTTCTGTTCTCTAGGGGACATTGCCTCATTCTCTGCAGCACCTTCCATCAGAGGGGAAAATGTAGGATGCAGATAAGGAAGAGATAGGGGATGCAGTAGAAGCTGGTTGTTTTACTTTTGGAATCAATAGGATGGGCACTGCGGGTGCCTAGACATTAAGTTTTCTGAAACGTGCCTTGCCTTTTTAAGTCCTGGAGATGTGACGTATGGGGCATAAAGAATATATAGAAACATACACAAGAAAAGGCCTCAGCTCTCTTGCATACAAAGATGTGTTTTCAATGTGCACACATATTCACAAACATGTCAGAGCTCACATAGACACATATAATATATATAAATCTAATCCATTTTTATAAGCACAAAGTATATATATATTTGAATGTCTGTGTGTGAGTTAACTTACTTCTCCATAGGAAGGCATCCATGAACATTGTCTATGCCCTAACGCTAAGCATGCAGACACATGTAGTCACACAAGCTTAATCACATTAACACAGCCTCCAAGATCGCCAAGAGATATTAATGAAACTCACTCTCTCTTTCATCATGTGTTATTTTGTATCCAAGATTTTCTCCCTATTCAGTTTCTATGGGAAAGCTATGTAAACAAAGAATATTATGAGTGCAGGAGAGTTCACCAAAACTTTGGGGATCCCAGGGAAACACCTTAGCTGTCAGTTGTGTGCCTTCTACATTTCCTTTCTAACTTCTTTTCTTCTCCTTTAAGAGTTCAACAATTTCATTTTCATGTCTCTAGGTAGCAGTTTAAGGATTATCTTTCTTTGCTTGAGTATGCCTTTGTAACTCACTTGACACCTTGAACAACTTATCGAAGAATTTATTCTAAAAGAATACAGTATGCTTAAGGAAAATTACGGTAAATAAAGCTGTCTACATTTCCTTGTATATAGATGAGGAAATTGAGCTACAGACAGGAAAGTTAATTTCTCCATGTCTCCCAGCCATCTAGTAAGTGGCTAGAATGAATTTCAGTCATAAATCTCTAAGCAACAACATGATGCTAGATTCTAGATAATATACTAAGCACCTTGAATTCATCATTTTATTTAATCCTTATAAAAGCCACTTAGGTAGCTGTATTTTTGTGACTATTCATAAAAAGAAAAACTGAGGCTTAAAGGATTGAACATCTTGCTGAGGTGACAAAGCTGATGAGTAATGTTGGTGGCAGGATTTAAACCAGGCAGTCAAACTTCAGAGCCTCTGCTTTCCTTCACTACAATTTATGACTCCTCTGATCGTAAGAGAAGACAATTAAAAAATATGTTTTACACAAATGAATGAAAAGATGATGTAAAAGAACTTCACACAGTTTCTGACATGTAAGTGTTCACGCAACAGTAAACCTCTATCCCTTCCCTCTCACCAGTGCACCCAGTGTAGGTGTGATTAAGTGAACCTTTAGGGTTTGCTGTCCAACATTGGATCACAAGTCAAAGCTTTGCATATTTTAAAACGTACTGTAAAAACAGAAGAGGAACAAGGCTTTGTGAATAATTCACCACCTCTCCATGGAGAAATTAAAAAGATATTTCATTGCAAAAGAAAGGCCTTTGTTATTTGGGGTTTCCAGGGATTTGGACAGATCACAGCTTTTAATAGATAAGCTAAATTGGTTGCAATGCTCATGTTGCTGCCCAACCTTCGCTTTCCTTCTCCAAGTAAAACTGGAAGTGGGAGAAGTTCAAAGGAATGGGTACAAGTTAATGTTGAACATAAATGATAAGTGATTCTCATTTTACAATAGAATAAGCTTCTTGTTGTTGACTGCATTAGAGTCGAGCACAACTCATAGCAACCTTATGAACAAAAGATCTGAAGCCTTTCTATAATTATCGTTGTTTCTCAAAGTTCATAGAGTTTCCAGAGGCATGTTGTTTAGAAAGTGGATGCCACTCCTGCTTCCAAACCTGTCTTAAACTGGGGGCTCCACCAAATACTGTCCATCATGAGTGACAATTATGGTATTTGACACTCCAGTGACACAAGGTTCAGCATCACAGCCACCCGGGTTACCTCAGTATAGCAAACTGACTGACCAGTGCTGTACCACTTAGAGGAATGTTCCTCCAAAATATAATTAACAACTTTTAAATACAAAGGCCTTCTATGTGCTGTAACATTCTAAGTCCTCCTTAATTCAAGATCTGACTAGCAACACACACAATGACTGTTCTGTAGTTTCCACACTCAGTTGGGTCACCCTTCTTTGGAATGGGAACAAATATAGATCTCTTCCAGTCAGTTGGCCAAGTGGTTGTTCTCCAGATTTCTTGGCACAACTTGGTGAGCACATCCAGGGCAACATCTGTTATCTGAAATACTTCAATTGGTATACCATCTATTCCTGGGGCCTTATTTTTTGCTATTTCCTTCAAAGCAGCTTGAACTTCTTCCTTCATCACCATAGGCTCTTGCTCATATGTTATTTCTTTAAATTCCTCTGTATCTGCCATTCATTGATTTCACATGCAAGCAAGATTCTACTGAAGATCATCCAAAAACGATTAGAACAGCACATCAGCAGAGAACTGCCGGAAGTCCAGGCTGGGTTTAGAAGGGGTGGTGGTACTAGGGATATCGTTGCTGATGTTAGATGGATCTTGGCTGAAAGCAGGGAATACCAGAATGTCTATCTGTGTTTCATTGATTATGCAAAGGCATTTGACTGTGTGGATCATAACAAACTGTGGCTGACTCTGAGAAGAATGGGAATCCCAGAACATTTAATTGTGCTAATGCGAAACCTATACTTGGACCGAGAGGCAGTAGTCAGAACAGAGCAGGGTAACACTGCATGGTTCAAAATTGGGAAGGGTGTATGCCAGGGATGCATCCTGTCTCCATACCTTTTCAACATGTATGCAGAGCAGATTATCCGAGAGGCTGGGCTCTATGAGGAGAATTGTGGCATCAGGATTGGTGGAAGATGTATTAACAATCTCCGTTATGCAGATGACACAACCCTGCTTGCTGAAACTGAGGAGGACCTCATGCACTTGCTGCGAAGGGTCAAGGACTGCAGACTTCAGTATGGACTAAGGCTCAGTGTCAAGAAAACAAAGATTCTCGCCACTGGACCAATTAGCAGCATCAGGATGGATGACGAAGAGATTGAGAGTGTCCACAGCTTCAGTTTGCTTGGCTCCACAGTCAAAAAGCGTATCGCTATGGGAAGGTCTGCTGTTAGGGACC